GGAATGAGATATAGGAAACTTAAATTCTAGAATTATATGTGTAATTAAATTGGTTGGTATTGCTAAATCCTCCTATTAGAAAGTTATGATAAAAACTTTTAATTGAGTAGAAAATGCATGAATTATTGATGTTGATTGATCCAATTCAATTGAGGGAATTCCGACGCTTCACTACTTTACATATTAACTTAAACTCCTTTAAACATTTTTCCATCTCCCTGTGGATACGACACCCCAAAACTGCACTACAACTACAGAGTTATTCTTTCGGCATAATCAAATTTTGGCGACGTTGCTGGGGAGATNACCGTACAATTAGTTGAACGATTCTCTAGCGAAAGGGTGACTTCGTTCCCTTTTTCAATTTCATTTTTTAGTTTGTTTATTATCTTTCTTTGTTATTTGTTTTTCTCACATCATTTCCTTTTAATTGCATTTTATGAACAGGTATCGAGACGAGCGAAGAAGATTTGTGGAAACACCTCTCATAGAGTTTGAACATCTTTTTAAACCTGTTTTTGATTCTACATGTGTTAACACGAATACCACATCACATAACACAATATCTGATAGTGAGCATGATGCACCTTATAGAATTTTGCATGATTACCTGCACCCTATGCACAAATCTACACCTTCATATATTAAACCCAATATACCACGCATAGATTTTAAACCTAGAATGATTCCAATTTCCATGGACTTGAAAATGAGAACTCATACGTGCATATTAGGGAATTCGAGGAGGTAGTAGCAACCTTTCACAATCAACATGGTACGATGGATACAATTAGGCTTAAATTCTTCCCATTTTCTCTTAAGGAAAGGGAAAAAAGCTAGTTGTATTCATTGAGACCACGTTCGATTGGAACTTGGGTTGAAATGACCCAACTGCATTGAAAAAGAAAATCTCTTCTTTTATCCAAAAGGAGAGTGAAACTTTATATCAAGTGTAGGAAATGTATAAAGAATTCCAAGCTCTTTCTCCCCACCATGATTATGAGAATTGGCGTATCGTGAACTATTTCTATGAAGGGTTAACACCTAGGGAGCGTCAGTTTGTTGAGATGATGTGTAATGGCGATTTCCTACAAAAAGATCCAGATGAGCTATAGGATATTTAGATGACTTAACTGAAAAGCCCATACTTGGACTGGACCTAGTGCCACTGAGAGTACTAATGGGTCACGACATGCAAGTAACTCCACTAGCACGGGTATCTATCATCTTAGAGAGAAGGACAGCCTTTTAATCTAGCTCTCCAATGCATCTTGAATCACCTTAATCGGACATCGGGTGAGGAAGTTATGACGAAAATACTAAGAAGATGTAGAATTCGAAACAGCAACGCAGCCCCCCAAGTGCTACCCCTGTCACAGACCCAAAAAAAACAGATTTTTAGTACCTAGGCACTGCTCCCATGGCGCCTAGGCATCGTGCCGTGCAAACTTAGGTTTTTTTTTCATGTTTGGGCCGCAAGAAGCTTAGAAAAAGACCCTAAAAACATTCCAAAACTCCTCATTCATCATCATTCTTCGTTCTACACCATTCTACCAGCACTATTGGCTCAAGAACTTCATAAAGAACTAATAAACATTGGTGAAGCTACGAAGGAACTTAATTGGAATTGGAGATTTCAACATCTTTTACTCATGTAATGTGTTTTTCATTGTTTAAACAATTCTAGGGTTTATATTTCCTTACTTTGAATTAGTTTTGAGTTTGACTTAACTTTTATATAGTTTTTCATGGATTTAATCAAGTTTCTTCCATTGAACAATTAAAATATTTGTTTGAGTTTAAATTTCAAATACTTTATTGGTGTGATAGAAATATATGGTCGCTTTTTGAATCTGATTTCAATAAATTAATGCAGGAATGAGATTTAGGAAACTTAAATTCTAGAATTACTTGTGGAATTAAATTATTTTGTATTGGTAAATCCTCCGATTAGAAAGTTAGGATAAAAATTTCTAATTGAGTAGAAAATGCATGAATTATTGATGTTGATTGATCCAATTTAGTTGAGGGAATTCCGACGCTTCACTATTTTATATATTGACTTAAATTCCATCATTATATCCGGTGACTTTTACATTTTAATTCAATAAACAAATTCCTTTCATCTAAATCACAAGAACTCTAAGTTATTGAACTCCTTTAAACATTCTTCCATCTCCCTGTGGATACGACACCCCAAAACTGCAGTACAACTACCGTGTTATTCTTTGGACGTAATCAAGGCATTGATTACCACTTATTAGAGTTCTGATCTCAGCTCGAGGTAAAGGATCCCGAACTTGGAGACATGGCTGAACTCACTGACGTGTTCCTTATTGATTAGGCTGTTGATTACCCGATTAGTTTGTCTCCGCGGGTTTAGCTACAAATTCTTGCAGATGACCTCGTCGAATCAAGGATTCCACTTCTTTCTTTAGAGTTCTACAATTATCAGTGTTATGTCTTATCGTCTTGTGATATCGGCAGTACCTCCCTTGATTTCTCCCTGCTAAATCCCTTTTTTGAGGTGGGGGTCTACGGAATGTTTCTATTTCTTCCGCTTGCAAGAAGGCTTCCTCCAGGGTGGTATTTAATGGATTATATTCATAGAATCTATCTGGATAAAGCTTAGTACGACCTCGATCCCTAATGTCTTTTCTCTTTTCACGACTGAAATCTTTATCCACTTTTTTCTCCTTCTCCTGGTTTGACGTGGCTTCCTCAGCACTAATATGTTTTTCAGCTCGATTCAGGAACTCATGATACGTTTGAGGTCCATCTTCATGTACAGACCACCAAAACCTCGTTCTATGCCTTAGCCCAAAAAGAACTGTCATAATTGCGGCATCATCAGGGATTTTCTCAACCTCCATGGACTGTTTATTGAATCTGCTGAGGTAACTTTTAAACGATTCAGTCTTTCCTTGCTTAATGCTCACCAAGCGCTCCTTAGTCGTAGTTCTTGCTTTAGAATCCATGAACTGGGTCAGAAATGTTGTGTCAAGATCATTCCAATTTCTTATGGATTTTTGATGTAGCCATCTAAACCATCTTTGGGCTTTATCTCCCAAGGTTAATGGAAAAACACAACACATTACGGCATCTCCTACTCTTTGTAGTTCCATCTAGGAAGTCTAATTGTCCAAATGGCTTAAAGGATTTCCTTCTCCTTCGTACCCGGTTAGTTGTGGCATCTTTAACTTTTCAGGCAAAGGTTCAACAAGGATATCTTCAGTGAAGGGAGAATGACATTTGGTGAGATATTCCTCCATATTTCCTTTATCTTTGACTTCCAAATCAGCAATGCATTTTTTCAAGGCACTCATTTCAGGTTCCGGTTGTTCCACTGATCGTTTGACATGGGGCTCAGCCTGTTTACTCCGATGTGTTAGGAAGTGCTGAGAGCCCAGCCTATCAAACACGCTGCTAGCTTTCCTAGGAGCTAGCTTTGCTATTATGGGAGAGCTCATGATCTCTTTAGTTCGACTTTTGGAGGATTCTTCTCCTGAAAATTGGAGAGTCCTCCTGGTGAGAGGTTGTCTGGTTCTCTCCCTGTGTAGGGATTCTATCTCAGTGTTAGTGGTGGAACGTGAGCTTGGTTTCGTTCCAATCCATTGACTACATTTGTCAACTTTTCAATAGCTTCTCTCATCATGGTCATTTGAGGGTCAACAGCTTCGTTTTGACCTCGTTCTCTTCCAATATTTTGTGGATTGTTTGTTTGTTCAGGATAAGAATGTGATTGATTTCCGAATGTTGAAAAATCATCCATGATGGTATTTTTTGTGGATTCTATGTAAAGATAGGGCTGCTTTCACAAGTTAGATCCCTCCTTCTTGCGCCAAACTGTTGACATCGAAAATTGTATGAACAAGATTCAAGCCAACTTTAAATGGAAATGAGAACTTTTATTGACAACTATTCGAAAATTGTATGAACAAGATTCAAACCAACTTAAAATGTAAATATGAATTTTATTAATAATGACTTGCAAATTATAATTGTAATTACACACGTTTACTCTTTTTCCTCAATGAGAAATTTGAAATATGAAGTGTTTAGAGCTTTTTTCTCTCTCTCATTTTCCAAGACTCTCATTCTTCCTTTTATAGGGAAGGGTTGGCATGCATTCTTCATTTTCTTATCTTTTCAGCTATAGTACCGAGTTGAGTAAGTACATCATTAGCATGTTTAGATTGGTTACTGAGCTCGGCTATGTCAGGTCATAACGAGTTATCCTTACATGTGGTCCCCAACAATTAATGTACTAATTAGGGAATGAAGCTAAGGTATTTGATTGGTGGAATTGGTGGGCGCTGATGTAAGACCTTCCAAATGTCACTTGTTGATTGAATATTTGTACAATGTGTAAGGAATCTTCAATCGTTATGTCCCCTCGAACTTCAGCAATAACTAATACAAGCTAATCTCAAATATCCGAGCTTAAATTATCATGAGCTTAATGCATACAACAAACTGTACTTAACGACCTCGGAGGTCGGATGTCAACAGTGTTCATTCATATAAGCACCCAACTAGTATTATATAAGATGGAAACCTAAACCTTTTGCCTTTGTAGAATAAGAATACGTTTGGAACAGTTTCCTATGAGTGAAAGGTGGGGGTGCTGGCAATTGAGGCATGGAAGCTCTACAGCACGCTTCAACTTGCCAAAATTGTTGAGGAAGCGCTTCCTAATTTGATCGAGAAAATTGAGGTCATACAAGGTGATTGAGGACCTGGAACAATCCTCAAACTATGTTTTCCTCCAGGTAATTAATCATCATTATTAAATACAAGGAAACATTAATTATCCCCTCTTTGCTTTAGATAAAAATTAGATTTTTATTAAATTTTGATAAAAGTTAATGGAATGTACCGTTGAAAAGTTGTGAGTCCCATGAAATGTTTGATTAAAATCTATTGTTAACTTTGCCTTAGATTTTAATCAACTTCTTAACTAAACCAAACAGGGGCCTAATTTCTTTCATTCAATTTTCATGATTGTGAAAATAGGTGCCGGATTGGCTACTTACAAAGAGAAGTTTACTGTGGTGGATGACGAGAAACAAGTAAACGAAACCGAGATAGTTGAAGGTGGATATCTTGATATGGGATTTACGTTGTATCGCGTTCGGTTGGAAGTTATAGAAAATGAAGGGAACTCATCATCGTGCATCACCAAATCCACAATAGAGTATGAGATGAAGGAAGAATCTGTAGCCAATGCTTCATTTGTTTCAATCCAAACACTAGTCAATATTATGGAAGTTGTTGCAACTTATTTGGTGGGTAAAGTAGTGATGGATTATTGAAGACAAAGATGAGGGAAGTTGTATATCACATTCTTGCAAAATGGTGAAACACGGCTGATACATATAGCCATATATTTGGTACAATTAAAAATGATTTTCGCCCCCCGGGGCACATCTGAGTTGGCAAAGGATGGGCATTGTTGGGCTTGCAACCTCAGGGTGGGGAGTTCGAATCCTGGATGGAGCAGATGAGTGATATAATACTCAATTATGGGTGGAGCAATTCGGTGATGTAATATCCATGGAGGAAGGCTCCCTTGGGGACAGGAGTATAAGGGTGCACGGACCCTGGTCAACTCGAGCATATACGGCGATTAACTTCCACTCATCGCTGAGGGGCCGAGGATGGGTGGTCCAGGACATAGTTTGGTGTAAGTTGGGAAACATGGGTATCAAAAAAAAAATGATTTTCTATACCAACTATTCTACCTACCACCACCTACACTTTGCTTGTCTATTACAACAACTTGTGATCAAAGCCAACTAGCCTAACCAACCATCATAACATAAGCTAGACAATGATCACAAACGTGTGACAACTCAAGAACCAAAAATACAACTTATTAACAACAAAAGTGTCACACTTAATTCATCAAGAAGAATGAATGATCCAGTTTTGTATTAGCATTCTCTTATGTCTGATTTATATATTCCCACCTACTGAAGAAAAGGAAGACAAATTCAGTGACAAGAAGACACATTAGCAAGGTGTAACTGATTACCAATTCACTAGATCAGTCTTTCCTTCATTTTTTTGGCTTTTGTAGACTTTCACAAATCGGTTGTCTGTACAACTAACTACATAATAGTCAAAAAAGAGTCACAGAAAAGGCTTAGTGGACTTGTTAAGAAGATGGCTAAATTTTGTTGTATTGCCAAGCCATAACTCATAATGTGCCTTGACCAAATAAGGGTCTAAAGTAACAATCATAGTAAGCTTCATCGAAGTTGTAATGTCAAATTGTTAGCAATTCAACCCTAATTCCTAGATCTTTGGAATTATATGATTTTCACATATAAATAAATTAATCAAAAAACATATCTTGATCCATCGTACTTAATAAGAAGATTTGGACCTGCAAATCAAGAGAAAAGATCAAGAAATTGTTCTCTCTCTTTTCCTCTCGGTAAATGAAAGTCGTAATTTAATGAGATACATTTATATTAATAGGTAGAGAGAGGCAGTTTCTAATAAGCCTTAAAATCGCCCACTTTCCATCAAAATGTACAATAAAGAAACTGCCACTTCTCAATGGACCTATAAGATTTTAGCATCATAAAACCACTTTGACTAATTCCTTAATAATATTTAGTAGGCCATGATTAATTGGTCTTACACAAATGTGAGCAGAAAGTAGCACGCAAAGTTCACACTCAATTCATAAGCCGAGAAAAACCTGAACTCAACTGCACCGTCTGATGTGTGCTTACATACACTCACAGTCACGAATGCACACTCGCACAAACAGTAGACGATCGAATGAATACTTTAGACGACCAAATGATTGTAATGAAACCATTAAGAGTATTTGCTTCCATGTTTGAAAAAAGGAATAAGATAACAGTATAATAAACGTATTCATGAATTATTAATGGATACGAGAATGTTACTCAGTTTACAAGCAAAGAGGACTACGCACAGAATAAGTATAATGTTTATCTAAGAAATAAGAGATACCCACTTAGATTCATATTTTCCAAGGCATTTGATAGATATTTTACCAGACTATACAGATTGACACCAAGTACCCTCCGGTGAGAGAGTAGTCTTTTTTTGACCGTAGGAAAACATTTTCACAACTTGGAAATCTTCTTGTCTTCATTTTTCCACAGCTTTGCAGCCATTGATTTAAATCCACTCATTCTGCAGGTTACCGAAAGCAACATTAATTCTCTGCTGATTGAAAGGCTGACTCATCACTAAAACTATTGGCTAAAACATGCAAAAATCAACTAATATCAAGGTGGTCCTCGTCACATTTCTGAGCACCGAACACAATTTCCTTAAAGATTCAAGGGGAAAGATGTATGCTGAGCTATATATAGAGAAGATAAGACTAAGGAAAGAGTAAGAGCAAGTAGGTAGATTACACAAAAAATAAATCATTGCCGACGATAAAAATCAAATCAACAAATTCCTCTCGCCTGATCAAGATTTTTACCTTATAAACTCAATGGTTTTAATGCTCACACTGGAACAAGAAAATAGCTGACTATTTGGGAGAGAGATATTTGAATTTTGCATAGTTTCCTTCTCTTAGGCTGGAGTGTCTACATATTTGCCCCAAAGTCAATTCGGTCATTTAGGAAAAATGACAGATGGCGGCTTATTATTGACTAACTTATAATTGATTCTGTTATAGTATCATCTTTTATTCATTAGCTTACATGCTTTTCATTCATTGGCTTTGAAGTCATGCTTTGAACATTTTCCCACGTGTACCTTAATAACATTTTTTAGCTAGCTTGGATGGGAAATGTCTTGCCTATACTTGGTGTTATGGTACTTTTTATCCCTGGCATTCCATTTATGCTTCAAAGCAGAGGGCGAGGTACACAGAGTGTTTTTATTGATTCAACAAATAGTATCCGAAGTCTGATTTTATTATTACAAATTCAAGATTCGTTATCTTGTTAAACTGGAAACCTATTGATGATATTATTGGCATCTTAGTTGTTGCGGATGACATAGGCTGTATTGAGGGGACATGTTATGACTGAAAAGTTTTCAGCGTGCGGTATAGGGCTTGTATAAGCATTTTCAGGTTAGTGGCTTTTACGCAATTACCGTACGTGTCAATCACGTGCAATCGTGTCCTTTCCTTTTGAATTCTTGATCCGGTACCTCTTAATATTCAATGGTTGCAATCTTTTGGATAATTTGAACGATTGTGATTGTTTAAGTACACAATTGGATGGCTGACACTCTCTGTTAAAACCAATGTTCTTAAAACCGGACCGGACCGGCCGGTTCAACCGGAAAAACAGTGAACCGGCCAAGAAATCGATCAGGAACTTGTATATTAACCGAAAATTGAAAAACCGGCCAAGAAACCGTTAACCCGGCCAGTTTAGCCAAAAACCGGAAAACTGGCCACGGTTTTTCTGGCCAGTTTTCCGGTTTAGCTGGTTCTTTTTTTTTCTTTTTTCTTTTTTTTTAACAAAAATTTGAACTATCTTATTGGGCCACCTATTGCAATAGAAGACCAAAAATTTGAATTATCTTATTGGGCCACCTATTGCAAAAGAAGACCAAAATAACTTTTTTAGAAAATTTTCCTTTGGCTTCTTTTTAAAGAAGATTCTCCTTTCAATGTTTTAGACTTTTAGTAATCTTCCAACGTGGGATACTAACTCCTTTTTAAATGAGACTCTCCTTCCAATATTGTAGTAATTTTCCAATGTAGGATACTAACCAATTGTCAATTCTAAGTGTTTAATAGTCTACTTCATCATTTTCATTAAAAAATCATAACCTCCAACAATATTATAATCACAAACAATTTTAATTTAAACAAAATAAATTATTTTGGACATATTAATTGTTACTATTTGAGGTTATAAAAGAAATTACCATACTAAATCTAATTAACGAATATTGATTATATTTAGTTGGTANCTTTGTATTAGTAAACTAAAATTAAAAAAGCTATTATAGTTATGATATTTTATAGTTTATTTGTGTATTTATTTTGTCATCCGGTTCAACCCTTTAACCTCGACCCTCTTCCTTCTCCGGGTCGATACTCGGGTCGATTTTTAAAACATTGGTTAAAACCTATGAATACGTTCTTCCTCTTTGTGGATTCCTTTCTTACTTTTTCTTCATTACTCTTCACTTACTATGCTATATACTCTTTCTTTGGCAATTCTATCTTCCACCTTAAAACCTTTCTTAGATGCACATTCTATCTTCATCTCGCTCTTGTGATTCTCTTTGTTACAATGTCTTCCCAGAGCGACTCTCAGAATGTCACATGATTCTGAGGTAGAAAGCTTTAGACTTAGGGATACCTCCTCTAATGCACTATCCTTTTTTGAGGAATTCCAATGTACTGAGGCCCTGCCTCATTCCATAAGTAATCCATCCAGTTCTGGAGCTAACCTGGAGCTTTTGAAATCAAGAAGTAGTTCTCATGAGCATTCGAGTGATTCAGACCATTTTAATGTTAGCGATAGGGAGGTTTTTGAAGCATTGGAGATATTTACCCATATTACAAAGAAAGGTTTGGATGAAACTTGGGATTGCTTTGACATCCCCGATGACATAGAATTTTTATCCTGGGCAATTTCAAACTATAGATTGCCCTCCTCTTGATGGTGTAGCTATTCATTAGCATTTTATAGATATGGAGCTTAGAGTCCACTTCCATCATTTCTTTCATGATATTCTTTCTTCCTTCAATATTGCTCTTCTTAGCTTACCCCCAAATGGATGAGCCCATATGGTTGAGTCATTTTTGATATGGAATACTATGGATTTGGAGGAATAGCTTTCACTAGATGTCTTTTAATCCATTTACCATCCGGTGAAGGTGGAAAATAAAGTATACCCATAAAAAGGGTACTATCTTTCCCCTCACTCTCCTAGGACATGCTCGAAACTCGTAATAATTTTCAATAAAGTACATAATTGGAATGAGAGCTTTCTCTTTGTTAGCGATATTTAAGGTCTTCAACCTGATGATCCTCACCCTTCTGTGATTAGGCCCGTGTTATCGGGAATGTGGAAAGAGTTTCCCTTTGCCAATTACTTACCTTTTAGCTTGAAGTTGTCTTATTTAATTATGTTTGTATAGATTAAATCAGCTCCCCTCCATTGTCGACTTCTTAATGAACTTCGCCCTTTGATAGTACATATGTTCTTAGCATAAGTTCTGAGGCTCGTGTAGCTAAAAAAATGCTCCACCGTTCAAATCTAAAATTTTACGACCTTAGACCTTAGTATCCAGAATATTTTAAAACTTTCCTATTTTTGGATAATTTTGTGTAATTAGCAG